TACTGGTGATCAAACCCATAGGCTCTGTACCACTGAGCTACATCCCAGCCCTGTTTCATTAAACTATGTTTGGCTAAACTGCCCAGGTGGGACTTGAGCTTGTGACTCTCCTGCCACAGCCTCCTTCCCCGAGTGCTAGGATTGCAGGAATGTGCCACCACATCTGGCTGCAAATTCTATTCTTAGTCAGACCTAGTTGTTCTGTTCATACCTAGCTATGCTAGATATTTTACAAATTACAAATTTTTCACTGTCATCATTGTCAGTGTTTGCTCTTTGTGCAAAGATGACCCCATGTTTCTTATTCTCCTCAAAGAACAATTAGCAACATAGTCCTTTTACTCACTTAGAAAATTGCACTCCCTCCCTTCTCTCCATGCTTGCTTTCCCCTTTCCAAATCTTGCCCAGCTGCCTTTTTTTTTTTCTTAAAGCCTTGTCTTTTTTCCAGTGGGTTAATCCAAAATAAAACAAAGTTCTGCTGACTGATGATTGTAAGAGGTGTGCTTCTCTTAAGTTTTGAAATCAGAATAAAAATAATTTTCTGCTCCTACTGCAATATTTTTGTGTTGGGGAAAAATTGAAAGTACATATAGCAAAAATGGTTTTAGGAAGCAGGTATGTGTCAGTTTTGGTAATCAGAATCCACATTCGAATCAGGGTATATGAAGATTCATTGTATTAATAGCTCTACTTTGAGTGTGTTTAAAATTTTCATTAAAAGATATTTTTAAAAATCAAATGATTTTTATAAATCTTTTCAGACTGAAATCATTTCTGGATAATAGGATATGTGTCTTTTTCATTTTTTATTATGAAAAGAGTAAGGGAAGTAGACTTTCATAATCTTTCAGTAAGTGAAGTAAACTTTCGTAAGTGGTAGAGTGATAGCATCAGTGTTTTTATTTTTGTTTTGTTTTTTGTTATTTTTTTGAGACAAGGTCTTGCAATGCAGTTCTGGTTGGCTTTGAACTCACTGTGTAGCCCATGCCAGCCTCAAACTTGCTTTGATCCTCCTGCCTCAGCCTCCTGAGTGCTAGGATTACCAGCATGCACCACCATATCTGGCATAAAGAATCAGTGTTCCTACCCTTTCAAATCAGTGATTTTCAAACTATGCTTGAAGAGGAATTAAATCTCTAAAAATTGAATAATTGGACATTTTCCCAATCTGTGGAGCATAGGTTTAAAAACAGTTGATGAAAGCCTATAATCCAAGCACTCGAGAGAGAATTGAAAGTTCGAGCCCACCCTGGGCAACTCAAGTGATTTAGCAAGAAGACCCTGTTTCAAAATTAAAAATAAAGGGCTGGGAAGAGAGGTCACTGAAGACCCTAGGATCAATGCCCAGTACCACATAAACACACACACACAATATATATGTGTGTGTGTGTATATATCTATATATCTCTATATAGATATAGAGATATATAGATATATAGTGAACCTTATAAAAAGTGAAAGCTAGTGGTTGGTGGTGGGTTTGCGAGTACTTCCCCCTCCCAGTATTCAGGATCAAACCCATACACACTAGGCAAGTTCTCTATTGAACCATACATCGCTTCTCGGCACTTTGGCTAAGATCAAGTGTAGTATCTGTTCTTACAGTCTATTGAACCATACTCCATCCCTTACCTTCACTCCTTACAAAGAAAATTAAATCTCAGCACAGGAACCCTTGGGGACCCATTAAAGCCATAGCCAAACCATAACACCTTCATTTCATGTATGGATCCCATAAACTGCAAAATGGAAAGAAGAAATTTTACTAACAGCTTTAACAACAACAACAAAAAACCCCATTAAACTTATGAACTACTGCTTAAAGTGTGCTTACAGAATTATTTTATCTCAGTGTTTCTTGGCAAAAGAAGCAAGTCCAGAAATGCACTTTAGGAGAAATGAAGCTCTGGCAATAAATATGTACTTTTGTAACATTTTTTCACGTTGTTGAATTTCTGCAATGCTGTATACTACATTACTTTATATTGAGTTTTCCCATTTACTTGTATTTTTATAGTATTCAGTCTAGTGGACGTTTTCAAATATTTTGAGTTTATTTATTTATTCTTGGTTTTTTGAGACGGGGTCTCACTATGTAGTTCAGGCTGGTCTTGAACTTAGCAGCCCAGTCTGGCCTCAGACTCGCCTTGATCTTCCTGCCTCAGCCTCCCAAGTGCTGGAATTACAGGCGTAGTCCACTACGCCCAGCTGCTTGTATTTATTAAGAATGAAAACTCTGTTACGTTTCTCAGATTAGTAAAATTTCCCTCCATTGTACATTGTCATGTTTTTAGCCAAATTTTGCAATAATTTTTGCATCCTAACATCCTGGCATTCGAGCGGTACTTAAAAGTTCTTTTTTTTTTTTTAATAGGAAAATGGGCGATGTATTACTAAGCTGGAAAACATGGGGTTTCGAGTGGGACAAGGATTGATAGAAAGGTGAGCAGAATGGATTTGAAAATTTTCTTCCAGGTAGGTTATGAATAAAGATGATCTGTTTCAAAAGATTGCATAAAACTTGAGATTTTTATTTTAATTCCCAAGTTGTAGTTCTCTGTTCTTTACAGATTGAAACTTCTTTTTGTAGGGTTGGGGGTGTGGCATAGTCATACAGTGCATGCTTAGCACATCCAAGGCCCTGGGCTCTATCCTCAGCACCAAATCAAAACCAAATAGAGAAATTTCTTTTTAGGTCTGGTGCTAGTTTAATTCACTGTTCAAATTTTATGTTTTAATACTTGAAAACATTTTATACTCTTAAAGTTTCTTTTTTTCCCTGAAAATATTGGTCTATTGAAACAGCTATTTAAAATCTCCTTATGTTTTCTACTTTTACAAGGTCTCACTGTGTAATTCAGGCTGGCCTTGAACTCACTGTATAACCGAGGATGGCCTTGAACTCATGGCGGTCCT